CAGACCGACCAAACATGCTGCTTCCTTCTTATCGTCCGTCGCGTATGTGCACACACACACACACACACACCAGTACAGCTCGCCTTCAGCTGCGCTTTGGAAGCAAGAGGGCAAACTACAGACAGAGAGAGAGATAGAGAGAGGAAAAAAAAAAAAGGGTGGAGAGAGAAATAAATAAATACATATTGGCAGAAAACCAAAGAAAGTGAGAAAAAAAAAGAATGTTTTGAAAGAGTCCACGTATACCTGTTTACATTCTATTACATACACAGACATACAGACGGATAGAAAAATGAGGCAGATATCTGCACCAATAAAATGAGAGAAGTACGAAAAAAAAACAACAACAAAAACAAACAAACTTGAAAGATGAAGCGCTTCACTTTGCCACGGTTGTGTGTACTCGACCACTGCCGCTGCCTTCGCCTCCACTACTGTCACTTCTCACACCCCACTCATGCCGCGAAATAAAGTGAAGAACATGTTCATGCCGCTTCAGTAACTCTCTTTGCTGAACCAAATTGAGGTGCATTGCATTCTTTTCGTCCTCCAGAGCCCTCACCTTCTGCTCGAGCTCATCGATATGGACGGCCTGCCGGTTCCGCTCCGCCAACAATATGGCATTCTGCGCCTCCAACTGCTCCACACGTGCTGACGGTGACGGTGTGCGAGGTGCGGCAATTTCTCGTGACCTCAATTCACTCATTAGTTGCAGATTTTCCTCTGCGATGGCAACTGCCTCCTGCTTGAGAGTATCTCGCTCTACCTTCAGCTCCGCAACACGTCGCCGAAGAAACTCTTCCTGATCATGGGAGAAATGCCGTTCCGTGGAGGTTTGCAGATCCGATACATCAGGGTCTAATAAACGCCGCCCATTGGCGCCCCTTAAAACGACATCTACTAGACGGTTAGACACTTGTGTGCACAACGACCGCATCGCGTGGGCCTCCTGGCGCGGCTCAACACTATACTCTTCCAATTCATTCAGAAGATTCATAAGTTTCGTTAATTTTCCATTCGCCCCTTCGTCGATGAAGAAGCAACGTTTCAATAGGAACTTAAGCCACCTCAGCGATCTCTGCGCAATGTACTTCGTCGTCTTCGTTGAGGTTTCTTTTCTTGTGGCGGCATCGGTGGCTGCGCTTGGGACTCCGTCGCCGCCATCCCGGTGGACGACGGCATCGCGGAGACTGTCGCTGCCACTCACCGCGCGGGTGGTTTGCGTCTCCGTCTGCCGCGTGCGGTGAAGTGCCTCCAGCTGCGTTCTCAGAGCCTCCACAGCACCGCGGAGATGCAAGAGCTCCTCGTCCCTCTGCCGCAGCTCCCTTTCACGGGCACGAAGAGAAATTTCCATCTGCGTCAACTTTCCCTGCAGTTCCCCCTGCACGTCGACTCGCTCCTCGACGGTCACCTCCAGGAGTCTGTTAAGGTGCTCTACTTCATCTAATATCGCCCGGTACTTTTCATGCGCCGAGACGCGTGACACGCACACGCCGCCAATTGCTCTCTCTGACGGGGGTGCCGCCAGCGTATCCTCACGGATTAATCGAATCACCTCGTCGCACTCATCGTGAAACGTCCGCCGCGTTGCCGTGGACGAGGTTCTCACGGAATTCCGTGAGGGTAACGGGGGCGGTGGCGTGTACGTTGGGTAGCTTTTTGCCGACGATGGCGTGGCATGCAGAAAGTTGTCCGTCTCTGTCGTCATCCTCACCGTCACACACACCACCAACCCTTCTCCAGCGGCAGGATTGTAGATATATAAATATGTGTGTATAAGTGGGTGTATTGTGTGCAAAGAATGGTCCTATTTTCAGTACGCCCCTCTCCACCCCCTCCCCTCCTCCTCCTCTCGGTGGAGGTCCCGCTACAACACAGCCAAAAGCAAAAAAAAAAAAAAAAAAAAAAGAAAAGGAAGGCTGCATACATAAAGGCAGGATGTAAACAGATGGCATGCAGACATGCATCCACACACGCACACACGTATAAGAATGCTCACGAACAATAAAGAAAACAACAACGACAAAATAATAATAATAATAATAATCAAAAGCAACAATAAAACGGAATAAACCAATAAAAAACTAACAAAATAAAGAGTGAAGGTGAAAAAACAAAAACAAACCAACCAAAAAAAAAAAAAAAAAAAAAACGGCGTATGTGTTTTCGTTCATCAGCCACAGGAATTATTATTGTGCGGCAAGAAGAAAAAGAAGAAAAAGAAATAAACGGGAGCGTTAAGGGTAAAACAAAAAAGAAAAAATATATATTTTTTCTTGAAATTTTACCCTTAGCCCTTATCTTTTGTATTCACTTCAGTTAAGAGTTTTTTTTTTTCTTTTTTCCTTTTTTCTACTCCTCCTCCTTTTGTTTTGTTTTGTTTCCCACCCACCCGTTCACAGTCTTCCCTCCGTCTCCTTTTGAATAAATAATAGCGGCAACTTCCTTTCTTTCGTACTCCCCCCCTTCCCTCCCCCCCATAATTATGCCTCCAACACACACACACAGAGAGAGAGAGCGAGAGGGCGAAAGACGGATATGTGAAACATCGTCCTTTTTTTCCTTCTTCGTCTTTCCTTTTTTTTTTTTTTTTATTATTTATTATTAAATCATCATCGATTTCCCTTTTTTAAAAAATTTCCGCAGTTGAGTTCATTTGTCTCCTCCAGTCAAGATTGCACCCAATTCACCCCCACACATGCACATGCACATGTGTATATATATATATATATTACAAGGGGGGCAGCAGAAGAGAGAGAGGGAGGGAGGGAGAGAGAGAGAAAAATATATTGAGTAAATCAAAATATTTATAATAATAATAATAATAATCCCATCACTTTTCACACGCTCACAGATGCATGGTGGATAAAAGTAAAGCCCTACATGCAGGGGATATCTTCCATTCGAAGAGGATACATACATGAATGGATATATATATGTATTATTATCTCACACAAATCCTCTTTCTCCGTATTATTTTACCCATTCACCCCCTCCACCCCCCAAAAAGTACTCGCAGTAAGGGAGAGCGAGAGAGACAGGAAGGCAAAGAAACGGGTCACACATACACACACACAAAAAAAAAAAAAATGGGTACAAAACAACAACAACAACAACAACGGTGATGGTGATGATAGCAGCGGCACATCTTCTTCACGTTCCCTCTACCGTGGGTGCGCCCCACCCCTCGGTTGAAGGAGGCGACAGCCACAACCCCCCACGCAGAGGGACAGAAGTGGGGACGGGAAGAGGAGACAGACAGAGAGACATACAGACAGGGGAGAGGCGCCATGGAATAGTTGCACGCAACAGAAATAAAAAAGGACAAAGAAGAAAAAAAAAAAAAAAAGAAGAGGACGGCACAAACATAATATAAATATATATATAATATAACCAACAGACCAGTAAAAATAAAAATAACAATAGAAACAAAGGGAAAAACAAAAACAAAAAAAGAGGAATGGGGCCCATCGTTCACAGTGACGGCAATAGGAAAAGGAAATGAAAACAACATGTCAACCACCATTTGATAGGAGAAAAACGTACATAAATAAATACAGAGAGAGATATAAAAAAAAAAAAAAAAAAAAAAAAAGAAAGATGGATAAAACAGAGAGAAAGAGACATGCACATCCTCAAAATAAAAATAAAAATAAAAATAAAATAAAAATAAAATAAAACACACGTAATTCAACCCAAAATAACGGCATGATCACAAAAGTGACAGGCAACAAGAAGCAGAAAAAGTCCAATCGATAACCCAAATCAAATCAAATCAAAAAAAAAAACAACAACAACAAAATTCGGTGCAAGGGATACACGCACACATCCACGTACATAACAAGAGACAAAATAAATAACACACACAAACATTAAAAAAAAAAAAAAAAAGAAAAAAAAGGGGTTTCATCATAACTTTTCTGCAGGCATGCCACAATTGATACAATTACATTACATTATACACACACACATGTAAATAGATACATACATACACGTACAGAGAGACAAGCATTTTTCCGACTCATTAACACACACGCAGTCTTTGAGTAAATAAACCACAACCCCCCCCCCCCCCCCCCCCTGACTACCCCCACACATTCACACACACACACACGCACATCCCCCACTCCAACAGCACCACGACGACAAATACACGTGACCATAAAAACAAAAGAAAAAAAAACAAAAACAAAAACAAAAACAAAATGGACGAATTAAAATGGAAAACGGGTAAAAACAAAAAACAAAACAACAAGCAGCTATGAAACAAACAACAACAAAAAAAAAAAAACGTGAAAAAAAAAAAAAAATGGAAATCAAAAAGAAAAAAAAAAGAATATCATAACGAATGCTTCAATGTAAATAATATTCAAGGAATAAATCGCCAAGAATTCACTGTGCTTGTGTGTGTATACGTGTATGCTTAGAAGTGTGTGTGTGTGGGGGCAATACATATATATATATATATATATATAAGAAGGGGCAAGGGGTTTGTTATTATTTTCCTTTAATACTCTCCCTGCGTGTTTCTCCCCGTATTTTTTAATCTATAACATTTATAATGTAAATGAGCATATTATATTTGCCAATACATATGTACTTTACGTATTGAAAGGGGTGTAGATGCTTCTAAAAATAAACACGTAATTACACACACAAACACACACACACACACATACTTATACATATATATAATATAAGTATGTGACTAAGTACCTACAAAAGTCAAAATTTATCCATCGATTTGTTTTCATTCCCAATTCGCCGCCGTCCCTCATTGTTTTTACTATTATTCTTCTTAAAAACTATATATATATATATATATATATATATATAGTTTATTTCCTTTGGTGTATTTTTTTTTGCCTCTTCTCCACCCCCTTTTTTTCCCCTTTAATTTTCTGCGAGTTGCGCTCCGCTCCCTTTTTTTTGTTTTTCTTTTTTCGGCTTTTGTTGTTTCCTTTGCTTTTTGCCGGTCGTTGCTTTTTGAGCTCAATAGTTTATGTCCCTGCGTCGTTTTTTTCCGCGTTTCCCTTCGGCGTGTCCTCCTCCCCCTGAGAAGACTTCTTGCTTCGGGTGTTGTCACCATCATCGCAATGGGCGTGTGCTGTTCTCGACAGTCTTATCAGTTTGCTGGGGATCGTGAGCCGCAACTCTTTACCATCCACGACACCGAGCACATTGAAGAGCTCAGGCCGTCGCATGTATAACAGTTTGGCCAGCCGCACACACTCCGCCGCGGAGAAGAAAACGAGGCACAACGTATTGCCATCGGCATCGTTACCGCAAGTTTTGACAGAGATGCTGCTGCTGCTGTTGCCGTCCCTCCTGCCTGAAAGCCCGAAGGAGGCGGGAGGGTCATTGTCGTCGTTGCCGCGCTTGCCCTGGTCAACGCCGTTGGTATTGGGAACGGCGATGTTACGGTTTTGGTTCGGTCGGGAGGAATGCATCATCACCTCTTGCACACAACCAACATGATCCTCAAAGAACTTGTGAACAAACGACGACGCCGTATCTCGTGGAAGGTTACGCACAGCAAGACCGAGTGAACTACAGCGTCGCGTTCGCTCCTCCACGTCCATCGACTCCTGATACGCCCGAAGCGCGTCAATAAAACCCAAATTTGGTTCCACGCGAGGCCGCCGGCGTGTGACGTATTGCAGCGCCTCTGCTACTGTCCAGCCGTTGCGGTAGATCAGATAGGCGAGCACAATGGTGACGGAGCGGCTCTTCCCGCGTTGGCAGTGTACCAGAGCGCGGGGACAAACACTCGCGCCACGTTGCTTCGCATCATAGTACGCTTTACGGACTTGCTCAAGGAGTACGTGGGTTGGGCGAAAAAACTGCTGAATGTTTGCCTCGGTGGTGTCATCCACCGCAAATGGATGAATAACAATGCTGCGATCAACAGACCAATATTCCTCACGCGATACATTAAGAATAGTTACAATATTCTCTCGACGCAAAAATTCCGCATTTGTGGCATCACGCACACCCCCAATGTAAAGAAAGTCAAGAATTTTTGTCGGTGGCTCACGGCCACACGTCGAAAATGAAGAGATTTTTCCCAAAGAAGAATAAGGTGGTACAGTAGTGCAACTACTCAACAAACTGGATGAGCTACCGTGCGTGGATGGGCATTGTTGTTGTTCTTTTTGTGCTGGTGTTGGTGGTTGACTACTGTGCGGTGCACGGATACACCCTCTCGGGGTGCCGTCACCGCCATTCTTCCTATTACTGTTCCTACTAATACTATGACTGTTGCTATTCCTATTACTCCTGGTGTTGTTGTCGTTGGTGCTGCTGCTGCTTCTGTCAAGGCGGCAGAGATCGACAACGTTCTTGTCGGAGAAGCGGTGATGTCGGCGGTTGTGTTTCAACCTCCCGCTGCCACGTACGCCGTTCGAATGATACCCACCGCGCGCAAAGGCAGGTGGTGGTGGTAACGGCGATGGCGGCGGCGGCGGCGGCAAATCGGAGGCCGCAGTGAAGGGTTGTGCGTTCATTCCTCCTCGCGGCGTTCTCTCTCTGTTTTTCCTTTTTTTTCCCCCTTTTCCTTCTTCTACCTCTTTCCACCTCCTTTCCCTTTTTTTGTTTTTTAAAATTTATTTATTTTTCTTGTTTCGCTTTTCCTTGCCTCTTGTCCGGCCGCCTATCCCGCACTCTGTCGTTCGCCGGCGTCGGCCGGTGATGGGGGAGAAGGGGATCGGTGATTGCAGGCTGAAAAAGAAAAAAAAAGAAGAAAAAAAAAAAAAGAAAGACAGCGTGCATACATTTTTATTTATTGCAATCATACACTTGTTTTTCTCGCTATCGTGTGTACAGAGGTACGCACAGCACAGAGGTGAGTCGTATCAACAACGCCGATAGCAACAGGGCGGTGGCCCTTCATGTACCCCAGTGCATTCGTAATTACAGCTGTGAGGCGTGAAAAGTCAAGTAAAAATGGCAGACAAACAGACAAAAAAAACAAGACAAAAAAAAAAAGATTTCACGGTCCTTGTACTAACGCCACACAAACAACAACAAGATAATAATAATAATAATAATAGTAATAATAATAATAATAATAATAATAAAGCCACATACGTCAAAAAGCCTCCTGTATCATGAGTGAGGCGATTTCTTGTACCAGCGATTCCGCCAAACAGCTCTGATGGGCCTTCACCATGATAGTTATACCCTTCTTGTCCCCCTCCACCGTGTCCTTGCGCAGAAGTACAGCAACGTGTGCCTTCTCTGCCGTCGACTTCCGCGCATGCAACACACCGTAAAATGATGCGACATCCTTAAATATTTCAACCGGTTTCAGCCGTAGTTTCTGTTGTATCAGCGGCATTGCAAGTGGCACATGCGTCAAATTGACGTCAACAAATCCAGATACCATTGGTGCCGCCAACAGAAACTTCCCAAGGATGGTCTGACTGAATTCTGCAGGCGGAACGTCCTTCGGTATCTTCGAGAAATAAGGATAAAAGAGAGGCAACTGTAACGTTGTGGCTGCCGGTTTCTTGCCTCGCGTGTACGCAAGAATAAACGTGAGGGGCTTGACAAGCGAGGATGGAAGCTGCGAAATAAATCGAATACCGATTTTCCTGCACACAGACTTTGAGCCCTTGATACGTTCAGCGAGACACACACCTGTGACGCCGCTCCCACCATTCCCCTTTTCTTCTTCTTCCTTCTCCTCCCCCTCTTTTTTCTGCTGCTGCTGTTGATTTGAATCATCTATATTTTCCCTCTTTTTTTTTTTATCATCATTCTTATGAACATTGTTTGAATTGCTGTTGTTTGTGTCACTGAAGTCAAGTGACTCCAACTGTACACTTTGCTCTGTAAAATTGTCTTCATCGTATTTAATGCAAAGCTGGACGTCATATGCGCTGCTGCTACTTGCCAGATTTGACACTTCCACTTCGAGAGTTAGCAATGTGCACTCCTTATGCACATGGCATGATACCACATTCGCCGTAACACGAAGGTGCCGTTCTTCTAGTAGCACAACGGGGTCAAACACGGCCGCTTCTGCTGCTGCTTCCGCTGCCCGTGCTTCCTCCTTTCCACTTCCCACAGAAGCACGGAGCTGCAATGATTGTGTGTATGGGATTGGCTCTGGGAGCTTTTCATCCGCTGTAAGGGCCCGCGTGACGTCAACATTGCGGAACTTTTTCGTAGCCTCATCTTCCTCCACTTCTTCATTGCGTCGTCGTGCGGGGTTCGCCGCGACATAATTAGACGGCCGTAAAAGTTCACGGTTAATGGAATGTGTCTTGCGTGGCACATGGAGACCGGCGCCATGAAGGTGCAGGGAGGCCGCTGTAACCTTCTCCAGTCGGACATCAACGGGCAACTCCTCTCGCGTGAGCGTCGTGTCTTTGATGTAAAATGCTGCCACCTCTCCACGCCGCTCCTCTTCCTTCCGTCGCTGAAGTTCCACCGCGTCGCCACCCAAAAAGTCAAACTCGTCTTCGTCACCGTCCATGTTCTCATCATCGTCGCTATCGGATGGCTGCAGTAACGGGGGGAGGTGCGTGCAGAATGTTTCGCCGAGATCAAGATCATCCGGCGGTTTCACCGCATCCTGCGCTCCCACGGCGACAGACAACAACTCCTCCACGTAGAAGGTTGGGCCAATATCTGGGTTCGTGTCGACATGGTAAAAGACCAAATGGGCCCGTTCCTGCACGTCTGGGTAAATGCTGTGACGAAAGAGCTCTAGGCCAGAGTACTTCTCCTTCCCCTTGTCATTATCTCCGACGTCCTTTTCCTTTTCAGAATCCTGTTGCGGGAGAATGACCGCCCGTAATTCGGCATCTGTCACTGGATCGTCTGGTAGTTTTAACTCCTCCTCACCATGTGACAAAGTTACATGTCGTGGACAAGGCTGATGCACAAACGCTGCTATTTTCCCCACTGCAGCAACACACGCCACCTGCGCCTCGGGGTGCATCGCGGCAATGCGATCACTCAAAAGTCGTTCGCATGTGAGACGTTTATCCAGCAGCCAGTAGGGATACTCACCGCAGAGAAAAGCCGCCGCTTTAATTATCTGCCACTGAGTTGAGCGTGTAGCGTCACAGTTGAGCAGCGTTGAATTACACAGCAGTTCACTTACTGCTTGAACACCAAACTGCCGCACCGCATTCACACGCGTCAGTACCGTTACCAACTCTCGCTGCACAAGAGCACCATGTTGATAGGCGGTGAGATTCACGAGACTGATGTCCAGTAGTATACTAAAGTACCACTCAAAGTCTTGCAACAGGGTATAGTCATCGGTCTGGGCAACTTC